GTAAACTGCCTCTGGGTTAAATCCCCAGGACTAAAAAAAATACTAAAAATCATAACATAATAAAATCTATACAGTATTTCAAAGAATAATAATTGATCCATTCTGTCTCTAAACTGCAAGTTTACAGTCTTGGCACTGAAACACCACAAAGTCATAAATATCAAAAATTAAAGGGCTCGGGCCGTAGCTCAGTGGTAGAGTGCTTGCCTAGCATGTGTGAGGCAATGGGTTCGATTCTCATCACCACATATAAATAAATAAAATAAAGGTCCATCAATAACTAAATTTTTTTTAAAATTGAAGTTTGGTTCTAATACAGACCAATTGGGAGCTAAAATTAAAATTACTTAATGAAGTGGAGTTTAGATTACCTGGGTATGAACTTCCACATACCAATCAACAGTCCTCAACAATTATCAACATTTATTAAACTGGGATGAGAGGTGGGAGGGAAAGGGAGAGAGAAAGGAAATTGCATGGAAATGGAAGGAGACCCTCAGGGTTATACAAAATTTCATACAAGAGGAAGTGAGGGGAAAGGGGAAAATAATACAAGGGGGAGAAATGAATGACAGTAGAGGGGGTAGAGAGAGAAGAGGGGAGGGGAGGGGAGGGGGGATAGTAGAGGATAGGAAAGGCAGCAGAATACAACAGACACTAATATGGCAATATGTAAATCAATGGATGTGTAACTGATGTGATTCTGCAATTTGTATATGGGGTAAAAATGGGAGTTCATAACCCACTTGAATCAAAGTGTGAAATACGATATATCAAGAACTATGTAATGTTTTGAACAACCAACAATAAAAAATTAAAAAAAAAAAAGAAAGCTATCAACTTACACAGGAGGAAATTGTGAGAAACTGAACTAAGGTAAGGCTTAGCTCCATCAAATCCTTGACCAAGGAATATTTCTCATATTTAAAGCTCCCCCATTTCTGCCTTGAGGATATTACTTTATTTTATAAAGTATATTAATATATTTAGGTTTCAATTTGATGGTAATATTTATTAAAATGAATCCTTTTACTACATATAAGGATTTAGGTTATGTATAGTTATCTATGTTCATATCTTGTTCATCATTTCAGTGAAATCCTAAAATAAACTTTTTCAAAAAAAAAAAAAAAAAAACCAATTATCAACATTTGAACAATCTTGCCTATTTTACCACCCCCCCCAACATTATTTTAAAGCAACCCCAACGGTGACATTTATAAGAATGCCTAGTCTTGCTGGTCTCAGCAAGCCAAGGAAGGAGGATCTCAAGTTCAAAGTCAGCCTCAGCAACTTAGCAAGGCCCTAAACAACTCAGGGAGACCTTATCTCAAAAAAAAAAAAAAAGAAAAAAAAGCAGTAGGGATATGGGCTCAGTGGTTAAGTGTCCCTGGGTTCAGTCACCAGAAAAAAAAAAAAATCTTAAAATTGTCTAACTGTGGATAAAATATGGATAAAAAAAATCCCTCCACCATAAAATGGAAACACCTTTGCAATGCAATCCTAACAGTCTGCCCTGGACAAGACAGAGTCTCATTTTCCCATCCCCCTCAATGTGAACTAGCCTTGTAAGAGACACTGTGATGATTTGAAAAGGTTTTAAGAAGTTTTATAGCTACCATTTTTACTCTTGGAATGTTATCTGAGACATCCATGTCATAAAAAAAAATCACACGGACAAGGCCTAGATGTCAACCAACACCAACTGAGAAACCAATTGAGAGCCACTACCAGACATGTGAGTAACAACATCTTGAACCTCCCAGCCTGGGAAACCCTCCAACTGAAAGCTGGTACACAAGTGAGCCCAGACAAAACCAGAACTGCCCAACAGGCACAACGAACGGGGGGGGGGGGGGGGGGGGGGGGGGGAGAACAGTAAATAGTTATTAATTCATTAGGTTTCAAGGTGGTTTGTTATGCATCAACAGCACAAAAGCTTCCTAACAGTGTAACTTTTACTTTCCTAATATTATTCGATGTGAAAAATCTGATTCTAACAGATTCTGACTCAAAATTTATCTTAAATATTAAGAAAGGTTAGTTAATGAGTTGCCAAGAGCACAACATTACTATATGATAAATTTGTGGCACAAAGGCCAGAGTTTCACACAAAACATAAATGTGTTTTGATAGGTGAGAATCTTCCAGAAGAGTTACAATTCCATTATTTATCTATACTTACTTATCCTTCTGTTTAAAACAAACAAACAACAACAACAGCAAAAACCACTAGATCCTGGATAAAACTTTTTTTTTTTTTGGTTAATGAGAAATTATTTGTTGATTCCAGTGAACAGGGAGACATGGAAGATAACAATGGCAAAATGAGAGAAAGCAAAGGACTTTTGGGGCCTTAAAAAAAAAAAATCCCTGATTTTTAGCTGATATAATTTATGGCATAAAAATATACCCCCCAAAAGTCTCAACATCCCCATGGGAAAAATAACTATGGTGTTTCCTACATTAGAGAACTTGTTCTTGAAGTGATTTTACTCTGTAGGTGTCATGTTTCAATCTTCATTCAGGAAGTGGAAACCATTTTAGGGTTCTTTCTGGAAAGTGAGAAACGTGTGACAACCAGCTTTTAAGGTTCAAACCTTGCATTTTCTTAAAGAAGTTGACAAAAATGAGCATAGAGCAATAGTGATTTTAAAACTACGTGTTAACTTATCTAGTTTAACCAGTAGAGTCAAAAGAAATGTATTTGAGAACAGGTAAAACTGGCTTTGAGCACAATAAGTTCATATCAGAACAGAAAAATTAGAAATGAAGATCAGAGAAAACCAAAACCCAGCCAACTCTCCAATTATAAAGTAATTTTATCCCCTACACCTAACCATTTTGGGTTGATCTTACAATAAGCAACTTTTGAGATTAATTAATTCCCTATAATAAAATTCTGCTTGAGTGAATTCCAGTAATCTTAGTATGAACTTAAAATCTTTTCCATTTTAATTTTAATCATTCTAATGTGACCCATTGTTGATTTCATGATTTAGCTGTTAAAAGGTACATTAATTTATTGCTTAGAAATGAAGTTTGATGCAAACCTATGCATTTCACTTAAGTATTTCATATTTTTTTTTTTAATTTATTACTAGTACTTAATTATCTGTGGAAATAGGTTTCAGCTATGGGAAGCAAACTGTCACTTCCTAAAACAGACCATATCATGACTTTGCAGTTTTCTTATCAAAGTCCTAGCCATCTTTCACATCTTAGTTCAAGCAATACTTCCTGTAAAATTTTCCCCCAAGATTTAAGCACCACAGTACTACAAAGTACACTAAGACAATAATAGTAGTTTCTTTATATATTAGTCTAATGACTAAATTGTGAGCCGTGGAGAGAAGCACTATGTCAAGCTCCTTCTTGTAATGAGAAGCCCTAATCTACTAGCCAGAAAATAAAGTATGCAGTATCAAAACATTTTACATTACTTGATAAATTTTGCACTATAAAATTACTTGCTAAAAATATTTTAAAATGTGGGCAATTCTTGAACATATACAAGATGAAGAGGTGTAAGAGATGGGATATATAGCTGCGTAAAAGACACATGACAGTCACTGATGACATGTCCATGTTGACACTTTCATGAAGAACTTACAGGGGAAATAAGCCCTCTTATCAACATGGCAGAAGAAAAGACATCACTTGAATTTATTATAGGAGGAGTTCTTATTAAAGACACCTGACCCAGGGCTAGGAGTAAAGCTTTGTAGTACAGTGGGTGCTTGGCATGCACATGACCCTAAATTGGATAAAGACACCTGACCCATCATGACACTGAAAATAACCCAAGATTATGCAAGTTGACCATTTAGGTTAAAAGAATAGTTATTAAAAGTTCTTATCTAAAAAAACCTTTGTAATACAGACCTTGAATTTAACTGCAATGTTCCTGAGGAAACCTCAAGAGGTTAAATAATTATGACAAAAATTGACTCAAACCAGGTTTTCCTACCCTAGTGCACCACTCTTACTTCATGAAATACTTAAAGAGCAATAAAATAAATCCTCCATTTCTGAAACAAATTTGTTACCTCATAAAAATCACTAGTTAACACTAGCTATCTGCTTTCATAATGGTTTACTATGCCTCAAATCAAAAATTCATCTCAAAGGCCTTACCTTTCAATACTGGACAGAATTGGCGAAGATGGGCATAAGAAACGGGGAGATTTAAAATCATAAAAAAAAAGTCCTACAAAAATTGGGTCCCTACTAAATTCAATTTTACATGCCACGCTTAATAGTATCAGACAGCAGTCATAACGAATTTATTACTCACACAGATTTTGAATATTGATATTGACTTTGGAACAAAGGAAAAAGTATTAACTGTAGTATTTTGCTGTGTGTTTACGTTCATCTTCACTACGCAGTTTCATCGAAATCTGAGTATTCTACTACTCGCGCCTTCCATATTTTCACTTCTTAGGCCAACAGGTCTGTTCTAATACATATCGCCACGTATTTCAATTGAAGAATACATTATCCAGCATAAAAAGTGTCACGATATTCAGGAAGTGGAGCTGTCAATTAAGGACCCTTCACCGAATACAAGGGGCTGACAAAGTCTCTTCAATTCGAGGCAGGGTTCGCTAAGCCCTAACCCTCCCCGCCAACACCGCACTCACTGAATACCTCACTCGCGACACCCCAGACTCGCAAGGCGCGGTTGGACCCTCCGGACACCAGCCGAGTAGAGGGCCACCCCGGGCCAAAGTAGGACACCAGTGCCTTCCCCGCGCCCACCACGCGTCCAAATGGAAGACGCACAATCCTGTCCTACACCCGTCACAAACTCCTACACCGGTCTACTGGGTACCGGCGGCGGAGGCCTGCACCGGGACCCAGCTCCGGCACCCCATCCGGCGAGGTGGCGGCCTCTATGCCCAGGCCCGCACTTGGTGGCCTCCCCTCCCCCACCCGCGGCCTGGCCTCGGACCCGCTCCGCCGGAGGGAGAAGTCCGAGCTACGCAGCATATTACCCAGCTCCCGAGCTGCCACCGTATAGGGCACGACGTGCTGGCAGCGACCACACCGCCGCCTTCTTCCTCCAAGTCCCAGGCCTCTGAGCGTGGCAGAGTCGTCCGCAGCGAAGCACAATGGCGCCGGCCCCTTTCTCAGATCCGGCGCAGAACCAGCCGCCACCGTTAAATGCCCCTCCCTTCCTCTCCCCCCGCCCCACTACGCGTACCTCCTGGCTTCTCGCGAGAGGGGCGGCGCTGCGGGAATCCGAGAGAAGCCGGCGCGCTCGACGTACCCCACCGCGGGGTGGTGCTCTGACTGCGGCAGCCGTTGAAGGGCTGCCCCCCGGGAGGCAGCGAGGCGCCACTGGTAAGCTGCTGCGGCTGGGCGGCCGGCGTGCTTGTGGCTGGGCGTGCGTGTGTCCGGGCGCGGGGAGCGGGCGCTGGAGGCCTGGCCCTGGTTGGCCGTCCTCGATTTGCTGACAGGGAGCTCCTAGCCAGCCTCCTTACTGCCTGGCGCCCGGGTCGCCGCCCACAGGCTCTCGCCCCCTGGGGCCAACCTGCAGGGCCACAACTGGAAAAAACCACCTTTTTTTTTTTTTTTTTTTCCTTTTTCGAGCGCTTGGCAAGTGGCGCAGTGGACGTTTATCGGGTTGAATGAAGCACTGCCTTTTCCAGCCTTCCCTTCTCCCCGCCTTCTCCTTGCCCTCGCTGTCTGATTTGAAGCCAACCCTTGAAGGGTTTGGTTTGTCCACCTGTGGTGGTGTCCTTGTGGTAATGAAGCCTTGGTGGGGTACTTTCACAATCATATCGTTTAAAATCATAATATTACCCTTTGATAGTGTAACAACAGATTTTGCAGTAAAATTTCACTTATAAAAAGGGAGGGAAATTGTGACAAATGGTTTGTGAAAATTAGACGAAACTTTCAAAACTACTGTGAATGTAAAATAAGAGGTAAGTAACTGATACATAAAGGAACAGGCTAAAGGGAAAAGCCACAATTTGTGTGGATTTCGATGATATGTGGATTTTGAATAATACATTAAACAAAATTTTTAATGGTAAAGATCAGTTACTTATTGAACCTTGGACATATACTTAAGGCAGTCAGCATTATAATGTTATTAAAAACAATCTATTGATTCCTAAAAATTCCATAAGTGGGATATGATGTTTATATGTATTTGTCATTTCATCTGAAGGGAATGGAATATCAATGTCTATCATCCTCATTTTACTGTATCTTGGAGACTGTCTTTCACTATATTTTAAAATATTGTGAATTTTGAAGATTTTTTTTTCCCCACTACTGGGGATTGCTGTACCACTGAGCTACATCTCCAGTCCTTTTATTTTAAGACAGAGTCTTGCTCAGTTGCTAAATTGCTGAGGCTGGCCTCAAACCTGCCATCCTCTATTCTCAGCCTGACAAGTCCCTGGAATTACAGGGGTGTGCCATGGCACCTGGCTAATGTTTGATTATGTTAAAAGTTGACACAGATTTCACTCTTTTAGGGTATGAGATGAAGATTAAATGTCTAGTGCCGGGTAAAGTGAACACAGATTACTTGTGAGGAAATTATTTTGCCAGTTTGAGTGGCCCTATAGCACAGTGGATGTATAAATAAATACACACACACACACACACACTCTCTCTCTCTCTCCCTGAAGAATTAGACTGCATGGATTCAAATCTTAGTCATGCCTCTTACTACCTTATCTTGAACAGTTCTTTAACCTTGCTAAGATTAGGCTTCCTGTGAAATTGGAGTTAATAAAAAATACTTATATCTCACAGGTTGTCAAAGGGATTAAATGAGATCGTGCTGTCAGTTTCTAAAGCATAGTCATCATTCCAAAACTATTAGCTATTACATTCCATGTCTAAACCACCACTAATATTGTGTTTCTGGGGCTTAATATCATATAGGACCCTTAAACATCTTTTCAAGTTTATTCAACGCCAAGAGAAATGATGGCATCATTTTCCTGAGCTATGGCAATCAGACCTGGTAGTGGGAACTTCTCTACAGAACTCCCAAACCTGGCAAGAATGCTGCAGATTTTGGCAGATGATGGCTTCATCCCCTCCCAGCACTAATGATATTATTAGAGGTGAGTGTGGCACCAATCCCCCAGAGATTCCAGATTTTAGTATTTTTATTGATGCTAGTAAATAAAGGTCACTAATAAATCTGGTTTTATTCTTTTTTAATTCTCAAATTTCTTTTAATTAGTTTTACATGACAGTAGGATGCATTTATCCACTTTGTTATATCATACATACATGGGATATAATTTCATTTTCATGTTGCAGAATCATATTGGTCATGTAGTCACATATATACATAAAGTAATAATGTCTGTTTCATTCTACTATTTTTCCTATCCCCACATCCCCTCCCCACTCCCTTAATCTAAGGTAAAGCTATTCTTCCCTAGTGCCCCTGCCTTTTTGTGAATTAGCATCCGCATATAGAGAAAACATTCAGCTTTTGATTTTGTGTTATTTCGCTTAGCATGATATTCTCCCAACTCCAACCATTTACTGGCAAATGCCATAATTTCACTCTTCTTTAAAGCTGAGTAATATTCTATAGAGTATATATACCTCATTTTTTTTTTGTCCATTCACCTATTGAGGGACACCTAGATTGATACCATAGTCTAGCTATTGTGAATTGAGTTGCTATAAACATTGATTTTGCTATGTCACTATAATTTTCCTTTGGGTATAAACTAGGTCAGGCTGGTTCCATTCCAAGTTTTCTGAGGAATCTCCATACTGCTTTCCATAGTGGTTGCACCAATTTGCAGTCCCACCAGCTATGTATGAGTGTACCTTTTTCACTGCATCCTTGCCAACATTTATTGTTGCCTCTATTCTTGATGATTGCCATTCTGACAGGAGTAAGAGGAGGAAATCTTACAGTAGTTTTTATTTACATTTCTCTAATTGCTAGAGATATTGAGCACTTTTTCATATATTTGTATTTCTTCTGGGAAGTGTCTTTTCAGTTCCTTAGCTCACTTATTGATTGGGTTATTATTATTATTTTTTTAGTGTTAAGCTTTTAAGTTCTTTATATATACTAGAGATGAATGCTTTATCAGAGGTGCTTGTGGTAAAAGATTTTCTCCCAATCTGTAGGCTCTCTCCTTACATCATTATTACCTTTGCTGAGAAGAAGCTTTTTAATCTTAATCCATCACATTTATTGATTCTTGATTTTACTTTTTGTTCTTTAGGAGTCTTGTTAAGGAAGTCACATCCTAGGCTGACACAATGAAGATTTGGGCCTGTTTTTTCTTCTATTAGGCACAGGGTCTGTTCTAGTGCCTAAGTCTTTGATCCACTTTGAGTTGATTTTTGGGCAAAGTGAGAGATAGAGGTTTAATTTCATTTTGCTACATATGGATTTCCAGTTTTCCCAGCACCATTTGTTGAAGAGGCTATCTTTTCTCTAATGAATGTTTTTGACATCCTTGTCTGAGGTAACCATATTTATGTGGGTTTGACTCTGTGTCCTCTATTCTGTACCATTGGTCTACAAGTCTATCTTGGTGCTGATACCATGCTGTTTTTGGTACTATATTTCTGTAGTATAGTTTAAGGTCTAGTATTGTGATGCCTCCTGCTTCACTTTTCTTGCTAAGGATTGCTTTAGCTATTCTGGGTCTCTTATTTTTCCAAATGAATTTCATGATTGCTTTTTCTCTTTCCATGAAGAATGTCATTGGGATTTTAATAGGAATTGCATTAAATCTGTATAGCACTTGCCGCAGTCTGGCTGGGCACAAATGCCGCAGTCTGGCTGGGCACACAATCAGGAGCCACCACACAGCTTGTAGATTCAAACAGCAACTCTTTATTCCCGAACTCACACCGGCCGTCTACAATCACGTTCTGGGGAAATCCACGTTCTCTGCCCCAATCCACATCCACTGGGCTTCTGTCTCCCAAAAAATACTGTCTGAATCCCGTGAGAACTCAAGGGGAACTCAGGCAGCAGGATACGCCCTATTCCCAGCAGGAATAATCTTAAACCTTAAACCTGGAACCTAAACCTGGAACGCCCTAAACCCGATTATCTTAAACCGGGAACACCCTAATCCGCCTTGGTCCTTGAGCAAGGTCACCTACATTCAATGTCACTGCAACATGGGGTACGCTGGCAAGGAAATTGTCATACCTACTTGGCTAATGGCTCCCAGCATCTCCCCCCTTCTGATTAATTAAACAACAAGCAATGTGGCTTAAGGACTGTGCCTGGTAGGTTGTCCAATTCAACATATGGTTCTTACCCGTCATCGGAAAACTGACCTTTAGGCGTCAGCCTCCTGTCTTAGGTTGATACCACTGCAATTGAATCATACCCGTCACTGACTACCGGTCCAGCATACAGCCATACTTGTGGATAGGTCTATGCACCAGTGGGGGGGGGGGTGAGGTTCTTTGCCTCACCTCTGTTGGCCCCCAAATTTGGCCTTGGTGCCAGTGGGGGAGTGAGGTTAATGTGGCTTAAGGACCGTGCCTGGTAGGTTGTCCAATTCAACATATGGTTCTTACCCATCATCGGAAAACTGACCTTTAGGTGTCAGCCTCCTGTCTTAGGTTGATACCACTGCAGTTGGATCATATCCGTCACTGACTACCGGTCCAGCATACAGCCATTGGCCCCCAAATTTTAGACCATCACTAGCAGAAGGGAGGAGGATTCAGAAATGCCACGACACCAAGCCAATTGACGGCTCCTTGGGAAAAATTGCATCACTGGTGACACCATCAGCAAAGATATGCCAGCACTACCACAACTAACATGGGGTGCGCTGGCAAGGAAATAAAAATTGCATCACTGGTTAATCACTGTCGCAGATGTAAGAATGGCCACACTGGAGCTCTGGATATCAGCTGTTATGGATTTGAGTCAAATCATCTTCTTTTCGATCTGTAGAAATTGTTTTAGTTAATCTCTCTGGAATCCAAATCGGCTGCTGTTCTCCCTGTGGAAACACACAAACAAAACCCCGACTCCAGACAATCACTGGGTCAGGACCTTTCCATTGTCCTGTTAGAATATCTTTCCAAAGTACCTTAGGCTTATGTACATTTTTTGGATACATATGCCTTTCCGCAGCAGTAAGTCCTGATGAATCCAAATTTTAAAAGTAAAAAGCGTTATCTTAAGTTTATCTTTGGGG